CAGAACAAAATGTTGGGAGCACGATTTCCACGCTCGAGCGCCAGTCACCCCGCTCGAGCGTGAGTCCAAATTCTGGAAATTCCAGATTTGAACCTCAAGCTCAAAGCCAAGTTTTTAAACCATAAATTTCGATCCTCTTGGGCCAATCTTCCAGAAAACACATCAAAACTCATGGTTTAACATGATTCAAAACTCAATTTGTAAAATCAAAGCCCAAGGGTGTTTCAAACAAACTAAATTTGAAACCAATTTCTATGAATATGAAGAACATGCGAACATGCATGAATCTAACCAATTCAAAGCTTTAAATACAAGCTCAAATGAGCTAATTCTTACAAAAACATGATGGAAACATGGACTTAACATAACCATGAGCATGCATGTGACAATTCTCTATGAAAACAACTCAAATTCAACAATTCAGACATGCATGCATGAAATGAGCTCCAATTCAACATGCTAGGACTAGAACATGACTCAATTCATCAATTTAGACATGAACAATGCAAGGATCCACTTAACACAACAATGAGAGGTTGAATTTCTCACCTAGAGCTTCAATTACAAGTATAGAAGTCCAATTAGGCAATTCTCCTATGATCCCTTCAAGTCTTCCAAGCCAATTCTCTAGAACAATTCAACTCTCTCACTTCCTCTCTCTCTAGATCGGTGGTGTGCTCAAAAGGAGCTGAGGAAGTGTTTTGCAATGCAAGGCTAGGCTTAAACAAAGTTTGGTGTAGTGGTCCACTAGGGGTTAGTTTGGTAAATAATGCGACTCTTGTAATTTAGCACTATTTAATCTAATTTAATCATACCATAAGATTCTAATCAGTTTTCAAATAAATATGCCATAAAATCACGTAAATTATGATGATCATAAAACACTAATCGATTTCCGGTTCGGCCGCCGATAAGGCCTTCAATTAGCAGTTTAAACCCGAGATTACGAACAGATCAAATAAACAATCAAACAGATAGACATACAATTGAACAGATATACTTAGTCAATTCAGTTTCAGTTTCAGTCAGTCAGTTCAGTAGTTTATTCATTCACTTATCAGTCATAATCAGTTCAGTTTAACGGTAATCAGTGGTTATTCGGTAAGCAGTGACGAGGGTTGTTACACTCGGCGTTGGACAAAGATGATCCCAAAAGAAAGAACTTATTTGGATCATTCTCATCAATGCGCACTTCCACCAAATCTTTAACCGATTTCTCTTTGGCTTTTCTTCCCACATCTTCTACGACTTCCTTCCCTTCCAACCCCTCTATCATTTGGACGAAGCCTTTGGCCGCCCGGCTACCATTCACTGTGACAAAGCATTGTTTCGCCATCACTTGGTCTCCCAAACCTCTCCTACTCCTTCACTAGTGCAGGAAAGCACAGGACCTGGTGATAAGTCCACGCCACAACTTGCATGGCGTGCAACCAACCCATTCCCAAGATTAGGTTGTAGGTTGATAGGACCTTAAGCACCTATAATTCCACTTGTTTCATGACCGATCCAACTTTGACCGGCAATATAATCTTTCCAATTGTCCATTCTAGTTGAGAGTTGAAGCCAACCAAAGGAGACGTTGCTGGAGCCAAGTCTTTGTCCTCCAACTTCATCTGTTTGAATGCGTCATAGTACATGATCTCAACTAAACTCCCCTGGTCAATCAGAATTCTTTTGATGTCGAAGTCTTTGACGCGAAGGGTCACAACTAGGGCGTCATTATGAGGCGTTTGTATTCTTTCCAAGTCTTTGCTTGAAAAAGTTAAGACGTCCTTTATCTCGGTCTTTCCTTTCTTCATGGCGAGCTGAACAGAGAGCACTTCCCTCATGTGCTCGGCCTTCTTGATCATCCCCCTCGGCTCGCAGACCCGTGCTAGCTCGATGATCCCGTGAATAACATTGATTACTCCTTGAGGCACTGCGTCCAGGGCGGCAAGGCCGTTTGGCTCGGCTTGCCCTTGTGGAGCAGCCCTCATGGCCCCGTCAATGTACTAATCTAAATGCCCAATTGCAACCAGCTCTTCCAAATGTTGCTTGAGCATCACACAGTCCATCGTTCGGTGCGCCCTTTTTTCATAGAAGGTGCAGCGGTACCTCAAGTCGAAGCCCCTCTGCGTGTCTCCCAATTTGGCTGGCCAAAGCACGTATGGCTCACCTTGGATTTCACTGAGGATGCAATAAATTGGGATTTTAAAGACAGTGGTGATGCCGGTCCGTGCTTTCAACTTCCTCTTGGCATCTTCTTCTTCGCTTCAAGGAGCGTTAGCTCGGTCGTTTCCTCGACTCTTGTTTCTATCATTGTGGTTTGAACCGCTATGTTGATCTCTAGCTCGGTTATTGGGGCGGTTGTCCTCCTACCCTACCGAGTGGACCTTTCTAGCCACATTTTTGTCCGCCACAACTGGATTTGCCTTCTCGGTTGCAGTGGCGGTGGCGGTGGCGGTGGCGGCATCATCCTCTACTAGGATATGCTCGTTGATCCGCTGCATTAAGGATACCATAGTTGTGGGCTGATGCATCGTGAGCGAGTCTCACAGCCTATGCCCGGCTAGAAGACCTCGCTTGTATTGGGCGATCGCCAAATTGATGGGACAATCGAGGATCTCATTGTAGGTTTCCCAATACTTGGCATTGTATCCCTTCAAAGAACCTCCGAACTCCATCTTGATGCTCAGGAGGTGGCCAACCTCCTTCGGTGTTCGAGTATTGGTCTTGAATCTGGTGACAAAGGCCTCTGCTAGTTGTTGCCACCCCTCAATGCTCTCCTCCGAGAGTCTTTTGAACCACTTCAGGCCCAGTTCTCCTAAACTTGCTGGGAATATAAGACACATCAAGGCGTCATTACGCCGGTGGCCAGCCATTACTTGCCGGTAATGACTCACGTGCATGTACGGATCCGTCTTGCCATCATACAGCGTGAACTTAGGTTGGTGAAATCCGGTAGGGAGTGCCATGCTCTCGATCTCTGGGGACAGTAGGGTAGCGGCAAGTTTTGCTAGTTCTCTGTCAATCGGTGATGGGGCCATCATTCTAGGCGCTGGCATCGCCACTTCCTCACTGCAACAGATTTGGGGACTCAGCCTTTGCAATGCCAGCAATCTTTGGGTCTCTTTACGGTGAGCTCGCTTCTCCAACACATCCCTCAGGTCCCCTGAAATGAGCGGAGTAAGAGTATCTCGACATCGTCAACGGACGTGAGGGACGATAACTGCTGTCGCGAGTGTAAGATCTCTCCACTGGTGGGTCAGAGTCTCCAACTCCATAGCTTCTGGTGATAGAGAGAGAGGGCATCCCATCTTGGCGATGACTATTAGAGCGAAGGGGTGGGGTGCGCTCACTGTGGTTGCCCACTCCAGCAACACTTTTCCCTTTGATCTGGCCCTTCAACATCTCCATTTCAATAGCCATCTTCCGAATGAGGGCATCCTAGTCTCTGAGTTTGTGCTCCAAGTGCTAAGCATGAGACTCTCCTCGTCGTCGGCGACCCTCCAGACTCTTGGAGTGTTCAGTGCTCCTTGTGTGTTTGTCTCACACATCTCTGGAAGAGGTTTCCAGGCCCGCCATGGTCAGAATAGCAGAAGGGCCATCTCTCCGTCGGACAGACTCTGGTGTGATATTGTCGACAACGGACAGCGGTGTTTCATCGTTGTTAGCCATGGAAACAGTTGAAAAATCTTGGAGAACAAGGTTTGTCTGTCAAAGAGTTCCCACAGACGGCGCCAATTGTACGGGGGTGAAATATTCTCTGTTCTCCATACTCCTTGAATCCAAGCTTCGCGTGACGTCGCTTAACCTGAAAACCAAAAGATGGTGAGCTGCCCGGTGGTGTGCTGCCAGATAAACCCTCCGACGATCAGGTCAGGACACTTGGAGAAGAAGAAGAAGAATAGAGAGAGCACTTTAGAGCGAGAGAGTTTGGAATTCCTTCTGATTCCTTACCTCTAATGTCTCTCTCCTCTTCCTTTTCTAGGTTGGCCATGCAGCCTCATAAACTGTGGGCACATTACCTCTGTTGTCCTTCTTTGAGCAGGCGGTTGTGCTCCCCTCTACCTTCCTTACATGTGTAAAGACCAAAACCTCCAAACAGTGTTTATTGAACCGCCAAACGGTATTGACGCATATCAGGAGTGGACAAACACCACAACGGACTGGAACGACCGAGCTATAATAAAACGGTCCATCAAAATTGACTGGTCGTAGGACGCGCAGTTTGGCATCTCGGCCTCACCCTGCTATCTCGTAGGACTCCTCAGCCCTACGTCAGTCCGGACTGTCCGTAGCTCGGCCTAACGCATCAGTGCGGATCTAACCAAATATCCATTTTTCGTTGAATCATAGCTCGGTCGACGACCTACCCGGCCTAACTTAATGGGCCGGAGAGCCGCGTTGGTTCAGTTCAGCTAGGCGCATGGTCTTTTTTTTTTTTTTTTTCAAGTAGATACAACACTATCTATTTTTAACCTAAAGGAAAGGAGATGAGACAAATCCAGACCTAGATTCCGGTAAAGAGTGTCCCAACCACTGGACTACCCTTTTGTTTCTTAAATTAAAGCTAGCTTTTGGTTTACCAAAAGTCAAACAATAAAAAATAAAAGATTCTTAAAGTTCATATCGTTTGGTACATTCACATTTTTTTATAGTAACTTTTTAGAAGCACATCGGTTATCTAGTTGATTATTTATTTATTTTAATGTGCCTTTTATTTTAATACATTACAATACAATTTTTTTTTTTGATGAAAAGTGAATTTTTTTCCATATTTGGTATTTCTAAGTGTTTGTTGAAAAAGTGAGGATGTCAAAAGAAACTTGGGCTTTTTTTAAATTAAAAAAGCTTCCCTAAAAAAATGGCTTTAAGCTAACTATCAAAAGCGGCCTTCCTACATCTTTATTGAGAAGATACTAATAATGGTTTCACCTAAAATTATTGAAAGAATTGAAGAATGAAAAAAATTAAATAAAATGTACGCGTTAATCATCAATGTCACCAATATGTTCATCTTTTCAATCAACAATGTATATATCCTCATTGCACTTACCATCATCATTGCGAAATTAGTAACAAGAGGTGATAACATTCAAACCATCAAAATCATATATATATACAAATCAAGTAAACTTAGAACCATTGAAACACATAGGTCCATCGGCTTGGGCAGCCATGGCAAGCTCAAATTGCTTTAGAGATATTGAAGGAAAAGACAGTATTTCAGGAGCTGTGAGATTCTCCCAACCTTTCACAGGGTTGGTGGTAGTAGTTCCATCCCATCCTATGTGTGTAACATGCTTAACATCTGTTGGAAACCCTATTTCCATCTCCATCTTCATTTCCATGTCATCAATCTCTTCTTTGTAAACTAGATTAGTACATGAAATAACATAATCAATAATATTGAAAATAAATAAATAAATAAAAAATAAAAGACACTCATACAAAGAGAACCCCGTTGTCTAACAAATGTGTATTACTCCTTGTAAACTCGAATGGTGAGTTATTGAAGTTGTTATTGTCAAAAGAGATGGCAAGAGCTCGACAAAGATGACCTATTTGACCTGTCAAATTATAGTACTGTTATACTTTGTGTCATTTGCTATTGTCAACAAAAATCACACTTTGTGTTTAGTATGTTTTGGCAATAATGACATTTTTGTTGGCGATAATTTTCCCAAATGTGAGATGCGTGGCGGATTGGTGATGAAACTCTTACTCATTTGAAAAGATATTTTGCTAAAACTTTTATATTTTGGCGTCGAGAAAAATGTAATCTCTTGTAGTGAGTTGAATATATTGAACCCATCTTTTCTTTTCAAATGTGAATGGGCCTCTATTCCAAGATGGACTTCTCCAATGATTGGAATAAGTTCTACACCTTAATTTATTTTCCACTATTCAATTACATGTAGAAGTATCTCTACAATATTTCGATTTGTTCATTGACCAAGCTTATCGCTTGTGGATTCTATAATTGACTTTAATCCAACTATATCTCATCTAAGTTGGATGCCTGATTAGCCCAATTGATTTGGTTCTAGAAGTTCACTCTACATCAGCAAAGCATGATTTGTATGGCTCTTCAAAGATTTTATCATAATCTATTAGTGGATCTAAGAGAATCTTGGTACCAAGGCCTTGTTATATGAATATGAATCTATGCATGGAGATTTCTTAATCCCTACAAAGTTTTGCCCATACAAAACAAAAAAGGAAGTGTACAATTGAAGACAATTGTGCTAATCATTTTCTTCTTCAAGCCCCTGAACATAGTGCTTTCCATTAGACACTCTCCCTTACTAATCATTGTATGTTTTTCTTGTCTTTCGTCCTTTTATGGCTTGTATTTTTTCTTCCTTTTGTAGGTTTTAGTGCTAACCCCTGGTTGATTTATTATTCATTTACAATCTTTGAAAATGGAAAATATATGTCAAATTCTCAATTTTAGTTGCCGGAGGCTTAAGGGAGCTTTTGAAGGATAGTGTAGTTACTCAAGCTAAGTAGAGTAGCTTCTAAATTAACAATTGTGTCACTTACCAAACTTTTACTTAAATTTGAGTTTGGCTATGAGAGTACCTGTCTCAAAAGATGTTTTTACTCAATTTTACTCGAATCTAAATTAAAATATGAGCAAAGGTTGGAGATGGCCTTACAAAGCTGATGCCTTGCATCTTTTGTAGTATCCTATCAAATTCAATGATTTGCGCCATGTTTGCTTTTGTTAATGGTTGATCTATGGGCTAGTTGAAGGTCCATTTTCTTTGCTAGCTTAGTTTGTTGTTAGCTTTTTATTTATTTGGATGAGCTTTTTGTTACTAGCTAGATTCCTTTGTGACGAGTTTGTTTAAAATGAAATTAATAGATCGTGAGGAAAACGGAAAGTTACTTTTCATGAGTTTGTTTAGTATGAAAGCGGTAGGCAAAAAAAAAAAAATATTATTGTACAGTCCATATTAACATTGTAATTAATTTTAATTTCTTACCAAAAAACACAAGAAAATACAAGAAATATTGAATATGTCTATATAAGAAATTATATATAACTAAAATTTTAAATTTCTTTATCTTTTTCTTGTAAAAGTTTCATCTTAAAATTTCTCTATTTTTTTTCTTCTATTTCTTTTCTTTCACTTTCACTTTCACTTTCTACTAATTTTTCTTCTAACAAAACGGAACCTTCATTTTGTTTACCTGACTTTTTGAGTCCTGTATTATAGCCTCTATGTCTTTTTGAAGTCTATATATGTATTTTCTTTTTAATCTTAATCAAGTTCTCTTTTATGCTAAAAAATAGAGAACAGAAAATAAGCATGCATAATACATAAAATAAAACTATATCTTCCTATGTTTCCCTATCATATTATTCACTGGAAAATGTTAAAAAAGGACCTTAAGTGTTGACAGTGCTGAAAAAAATGTGTAACAAGTATATTAAAATGTATTAAAAATATGTAAATTTATTTTGTAGTGTGAATTATTTATTTATTTATTTTTTGAAATTATAAAATTTTTAAACTTTTGTGGTACTTGTTGACAGCCCTAAGCAGGATCCTTATTTTTGCTCTTTTAGGCTAAGAGCTATATGGCATTACACGCTTATTATCACACTCCAAATATTTGCTAATTCTACAAGAAACTACAATTTAGCAAACCACTTTTGCCGACTAAATAATTTTTAGTTGCGAAAAGATCACATTTGTGGACTAAAAAAAATTTGGTAGCCAAATTTTTTTATTTTCCACGACTAAGATGATTTAGCTGCAGAAATCATGTTTTTGGCGACTAATTTGAATTATTGGTCAAAAAAAAATAAAAGAGGAAGGTAAAAAAACGAGCAAGAGACATAAAACTTTTAGCGACTAAAGAAATTTGGTCGCAGATAGCAAAATGACCACTTTTGTTGACTAAATATTATTTTGTCGTGAAAAGCACATATTTGCCGACAAAAAAAATGAATAAATGAAAATAGTAGCCAAAAGTTTTTATAATGTGATTTAGTTGGAAATGTAATGCGTTGTGCGACTAATTTAAAATATTAGTTGCAAAAACTAGAAGCAAGAAGGAGAGGGAAAAAGAAAAAAAAAGAAAAAGGAAGCCAAATATAAACAAAAGTTGGATGTGGTATAATGGTTGTTTGTCACATACTTCCATGTGATTCTGTGTTCAACTCTATCAAGCAACATAGTTTCGCAAATTGCTTGCCATTTAGCAAAATGAGAGCCCAACCGGTTTACTTGAACAGTATCTAGACCAACCTTAGACCAGTTGATGGCCCAACCAGCCAATTCGATCCATTTTCAAAATATTGCTACTCACATCAACCAAAATGTTAGTCAGCAAATTCATTTAATTGCTGAATAAAGTTTTAGTTGCGAAATCAATACTTTTGGCAACTAACGTTTTTGGTCAGGGAATAGTACTTTTGACGACTAATTTTTTTAGCTACTAAATGGTTTAGTCGTAGTTATATGTTCAGCAATCAAAAATCTAGTTGCCAAATACTTGTTTTTGCCGACTAATGATTTTTTTTAGTTGCGGATTACTTTCCGCAGCCATGTATTAGTGACCAAAGTGGCGATCAAAATTTTTGTCGCAGAATACTTTTGCCAACTAAAAATAACCTTTTTGCGACTAAAATTTTAGTTGACAAAAGTGTAATCTTCTATAATGATCATCCAGGTCCAAATTGAGAGAGAGGGGAGGGGGGTGGGGGGTTGTCAATTATACACTTGAAAAATAATTGAGATGAAAAAAGCTACTAACCTGTCATATAGACTCATAATTTGTCCAGAAAAAATTTATATGGTTAAGATTAACTAGTACATTGTGAGGTTCATGACTTGAATAAATTTAGACAAAAAATTCACGTTTCTTGACGAAATTCCAATAAATAAATAAATAAATAAAATCTGCAATTGTAGTATTGCCAAATTGAGGTAGATAGAGAGATAGAGGGAGAGGGGTTACTAATCATACACTTACCAAATAATTGAGATAAACTTTTGAGACTCCTCGCCAATCTGTGTATTCCATTGGAAAGTTTGGGCTTTGGAAGACCGAGGAAACCCCAAGAGTTCTTCATTTTCATTTTCATCCCAGTTGAACTTTCTTGTAATTCTTGTCTGCCTTGGAAAAGATATAAGAAACACAGCGTAATTAAAAATCACTCACAACTATGGGTGTTGTAATTAACCAGGTTCAACCAGGCTCGGGACATGCCTATGCTGCAAAAATAAAAAACTTGATTTGACATTGTCCGAAAAATTATCCTAAATTTGACCCTAAAAGCACATTATAATTCTAAGCTTGCCCAATAAATCGATTATTAAAAAAAATAATATTTTAAAATAAAAAAAATCAATAATATTAGATAAAAAAATAAATCCTATAACAAAAATTCAATAATGTCGTATCCTAAGTTAAAAATTCGGTACATTATTTTCCTTCCTTTATTTTTTTAAAAATAAAACTAAATAAATTACATATGTACACTTATATAATATATTTAAGTCTCATTTGGCAAGAGCTAAATTGACTAAATAAGTACAAAAAGACAAAATAGGCTAAGTGAGTTAATAAGATAAAATGTTTTATTCAAACCATAGTCAGGTTAAGAAGTCAAGATAAGATAAGATATTACATTTAAATAATAATTATTTCACTTTTTTCTCTCGTAACCATCATATGTAAACTAAAAGAAGTCAAAAATTTATTCCAACTCCCAAAAAAAAAAAAGAGCTAAATTAGCTCTTTCCAAACAAAGGTTTAATAATTGAGCCCGACCAAATTGGACTGGGCTTAGAGACTATTCTCAAGTCCAACCTATTTAATAAATGTACTCAAAAATTTAGTCCACCCCAACTTTATAGACTTAAATATCAATCTCAAACTTTTAATAATGCAGTCTATCCGGCAGCAAAATTATTTAATACTTTCGAAATATTATGTGTTTGTATTCTTTAATCAATTATTATTCAATATGCTCTCTCATATTCTTAATCATCCAAAATAATACCTCACATACATACCTTCTTCACCAATCACAATACTATAAAATATTACGTATCTATATTTCGAAATTATTCAATAATTACCCAAGTTGCGGAGCTATTGGGATAATGGCCATCCCTACTCAGGACAAACATGAATGCACTAAGGCATAAGTAACACTAATATTTTGCAAAAAAAAAAAAAAAAAAAATTTAGGGAGATGAGTATTAAATTTAAAAAAAAAAATATATATATATACATAAAATTGAGATAGAGAGAGAGAGGGATCATACTTGTTACAGCCGGATGGTTTGGTTTTGTGGGTTGGGATGTGCTTACATCAAGACTTGACTGAGAAACACAGCTGACGGAGAAAGGAAGAACAACTAACCTTTCCATTCGATCTCTCATCCTTTCATATTATTATTCATAATAAGAGCGTACAAGAAAAGGAATAGTAATGCCAAAACCCAGCAGATATGGGAAGTTGTTTGGTACCTATGAAAACCCCTTGGAAAGGAATTTGGTTTCTTATATTGGGGTGTCGTTTGGCTTTATGAGTAAGTTACAATGATTTTACCTGCACAAATGTAACATATACCCAACCCAAGTTTGGTTAATAGTGAGAGAGAAAATATTATGATGGAGTGGTTTGGGTTGGAGTTGTTGGCTGAACAGTGCAAACTCATCCAACTTTTGATGATCGCTAATCCAAATTGAAGGATGAGAGTTTGAGCCCACAAACCAACTTTTGTATGATTGAACTCTTCCTAATAATCTTCTTTCGTGGGCTGTGGGCTCCTATATTGCTTCTCTTGTAGGCCAAGCCACAGGTACATTTTTTGCTGCTCCCATTCTTTTTTTCTTCCATTTCTATTTATTTATTTACTATTATTTTTATATTGTTTATCGCAACTTAGTTTAATTGTTAGGAAAATAACAAATCTGTGGTAGGTTTGAAAATAAATAACAAATTGATGGAAACTTTATGAGCCTTATTTTAATATAGCAAAGTTTTTCATTAACACGTAAATATTTTCTCCGACTTCTTCTGAAATGTGCAAGATTGCAACGAGACAAAAGGCATTATCAGGAACATATGTCCTGTGTAGAGGGGTTGGCGGGTGCTATGGACTCATCCGATCAGATTGAAACAGAAATGGTCCAAAGCCATAGTTCCAATAGGTTGGGTAAGTCTTCTTACCATAATGTTAATGTTATCTCTATGTCCTGGAGTGCTTTATTTAAATCTGAGATTACTAAGAAGAAAGTAGTTAAGAGTGTCAAGAGACACACTACAAAAAATTAAGGTTTTGGGGACCAAAATTTAGAGACGAAATTATTTTTTCGGAATCAAATATTTTTGTTGCAAAAAATATCGTTATTATATTTTTAGCAACGAAAATTTGACATTAATGATGAATTATTATCTATTTGGGACCAAATTATTTTGTTCCTAAAAGTTTATTTATTAGTGGCATTTTCAAAATTTTGTCGCTAAAAGTCTTATTTTTGACTTTTCGAGACGACCTTTTAGCGATTATCCTCACGATGATAGAAATTGGTCCCTAAATGTCTTTTGTAACAAAATTTTCTCTTTTAGAGACAACAATGTTTGTCTCTAAAACTCTTAGATGTTGTAGTGGAATATGCTCTTGTGGGTTATTTTATTGATAGAAAATTGTCTTTCTTCCAAGTGAAGACTTGGGCTTACAAGTTGTGGAAAGAAAATCTTGAAGTGGTTGTAACCTTAGATAATGACTACTTTGTATTCAAGATGAAAAATGAAGAAGCTTTAAAGTTTTTTTTTGGGTGAATAAAAGCTTTAAAGTTCATTCTTGATGAGGGGCCTTATTATATTGGGAGCAAATTGATTGTTATCAAAAGTGGAAACCAACAAAAAGCTCTTGAAAGAATTGCTAATCTTAAACTTGCTTAAGTGGTTAGCCACTCTATCAAGTCTAAGAAATCAAGTCGTAAGACTCCTAGTTGATTGTTGCTTAGCCTAGCTTTGGAGTTTGTTATTGTTAGATTTTAGTGTAGAAGTTAGGCTTGTGTTTCCCTCCTCAAAGGGTGTTTTGCCTTCGAGCGTGTAATGAGTCTCATTGTAATATCTATTTTTTGGTATAAAACTTATGACTTACCTACCAAACAAAAAAAAAAAAAAAAACTTCTACTAAAATGATATTTTCTCCTAATTGTTCCTTATTACTTGATGTAATTCATGTTATCTGGTCATGTTATCTGGTTTGAAGTTGTTTTTAGTTCAAATGCTTAATTGTTAATGGTGGATGAATGTAATAGCAAAATGACAAGTGGCCTTTATTGCTTATTTGTTGATTTGTTTTTGATATACAAGACTTTATGAATAAATTATTGATATACACAATTATTAATAGACCATGTGTATTAGTTAAGTTTGAGAGTTTTGCGTTTTATAAGAGTTAAATATGGGACTTCAAATCTCCATAATGGAGGTTACATGTTCAATCTAGTAGTCACTGGGCCACCCAGTTGTTTGTTGAACTTTCATGATTTTCACTGTTCGAGTTTGAGAATAGAGATGTTTAGTTATGAAGTTTGAGAAGAGGGAGACTACATATATACCAGGAAAATTGTACAACAAAAATTATCACCTCACTTTCAAAAATAAATTAATAAATAAAACAATGTTGATAACAAATTTCGAGAAAACATTTTCGTTGTCTCTAGAGTTACCGGTTTTATAGCTTTATTCTTCTCTTTTTTTTTGGATCTTAATTTCTATAAAGATAGTAAATTGGGATTTATTTATTTATAACTATTGCTGTTTTTTGGATTCTAATTTAGGTCTCTAGAAAGAGTAAAAAATTAAAATAGATTTTTAATGGGGAACCTACCGGTTGTAACACTCCGAAATAATTACAACAACCCAACTCCAAACAACCAATACAATATGACATAATCGAAATGATAAGCCTTCATTAAGAAGAATTGATATACAAAAGGTGAAACATACGATATACATTCATAAATAGTTCATCCTGAATCTACAACATATATGACAAGTGGCGATAAGAAATGAAAGCTAAACAAATGTTCACATGCCCTAAGGGTTTACATCTTTCCAAGCCAAGACTTGGGTACATCAGAAATGAGTCATATGCTCAATACAAATAAAACCCTTGGCTATACAAAATAAATACAACAAAAGAAGCTCTTGCTCCAAATCCCTCCAAGCTACTGTCTTAACGGAGGCATATCACAGACACCTGAAAAATGATTTTTTCCAAATCGGGGGAACCAAAGCCCAATAGAAATAATTTAACACTATGTATGAATCTTAACAAAGATATTAGTATGATATGCATATCCAATGCCCACAGTAAAATCATTTATAACTTTTTCACAAACCCATGCCATGTCGAGCTTTATATCTCAATTCATAAGCCATTCATCATTTCATTCAGACAACCAAACTGAGAATATAACTCAATGGATCTCTACCAACACAGTTATTATACAAATACTTCAATTGTGCCATTTTACGGATATTTCAATTGCAGGAATCGGCGCCCATGTATATGCGCGATTTTTGGGATTTTCACCCTAGACACACAGGCTAACTTAATTCAATAGAGTCCATCTCATTTCTTCTCCCAAATATCATACATTTACAATGAATTAAAGACATAGTCATATTCAATGACAACGGAAAAGAGATTAGTTTCAATCCGCCTAATCCTCATGCAATTTCTACAACAATCATAGCTATCCTCCACCGATAGCCCAAAATAGATATTTCTCAACAAATATACAATCTCCAAGACAGATAAATTATCCAAATTTTCATAGGTGAGAGGTAATACATATCCAACTCTACCATTTATATAAACATTCATCCAATTTCATATTTTCAATACCAATTTCATTCATTTATACCAAATAACTATTTGAGATATTTTAGGGCAAAACTTTCATTTCTTCCAAAATCCATCCGGGGTATCAAAATCAACTAATTTATCGCAACATAACCTCACATCTATCCCATAACCATTTTCAATACATACATTTGAAAGCCCCTCTTTTGATTTTAAACCAAAACCCTAGGTTTGTTCAAAATCATTCCAAATTTCAATATTCTTTACACATCAACAAATAACTAAGTTGTAACTCATAGAAGAGTGTAAAAAGTCCCTACATCAAGTTTAGAAGACGAGCAAAGCAAGGAAGAAACTTCAAAGACGTCGAAACCAAGTTTTGTTCAGACCAAAGTAAAGCTCTTGAGATGCTCTATCTCTTTCCCAAAGGCACTAAGGTAGAGAAACCAATGAATCTAGGTAAAAATGTAGAGTGAGAGGGAGTTTTCGAGAGAGAGTCTCTAGATGTAGGGTTTTGAGAGAAAAATATATAAAAAAGTGATATAGAAATGTGCTACTGCGAACTGATATACGTACAGTCCACTCGAACGCAAGAAGTGACGCTCGAGTGTCAGACACATATGTTGTTCCACTCGAGCACAAGAAATAACACTCGAGCACAGAATACACTCTCCCAGTAGTTTTGCAGACCTGCAAAAGCACTGAGAGTTCACAAAATTCGTTTGAGCGCAAGAAGTGTCGCTCAAGCGGAGAAGTAAAATTCTGGGTAACAAAAGTTTGAGAACCAAGCAACCAATCTTGTTCCTAACACAACCATTACAATCTAATAGCCAAACTCAAGGAAGTATGAGTAGAAAAGACATGAACAACACTACAAAACCACGAAACCCAAGTCCAAGATACGAAAAGGTAGGGTTAAAATCGGAATCGCTATACCGGCAGATCCTATACACAAAGTTCAAAATCCATTTAGTCCAAAACAAACAATTTGCACTAATTACTTCTATATATTTTTAATTGTTACTGAAAAATTCTCTATTTTTTTTTTTAAAATTTAAAGAAGTTGCTCTATCCCACTATCGTCGGACTTCATTAGACGGTCACCGAAGACTCGCCGGAATGTTTAACATCATCGAGAAGTTGTCGGAATGTCTAAAACATTCGCTAGACGTCAATATAGCGACTCAGGTTAAAACCCAACTCTTTTGTACTCTTGGACTGGGATCTGGTGATAATGGTTATTGTTTATAACTCTTAATGCCTTGTTGTAGTGTAGATTGGTTGTTTGAAGTCATTCAGTTGAGTTTTGAACAGATTAAAAGTTAGATTTTCAAAAGAGCTTGTGTCTGTTTTTCTTCAGGCTCGCTCGAGCGGTTTTTGCTTCCTTCCAATATCTATGTTTGCAATGTGAACTTCTAGGAGGAGTGTGTTCTTCACTCGAGCAATGAATTTGTTGCTTGAGTGGTCTCTTGTAGGTCTGAACTACGAGAAGAGTGTCATTGTGCGCTCAAGCCATTTGTTTTGTCACTCGAGCGGTGTCAATTCCTTGTATCTGACACTCGAGCGGTGTTTTGGTCACTCTAGCAGTCTGTACGTATATTAGTACGAGGAAAAGATATTTTCTATCACTTTTTTATTTCTCTCGCTCTCTCTCTCTCTAAAATACC